GGAAGTTCATAGCACTACAGGCCTACCTCAAGAAACAAGAAAAATTTCTAATAGACTATCTAACCTCACAACTTAAATAACTAGAAAGCAAACAAAAAGAAATCCCAGAGCGAGTAGATTAGAGCAGAAATAAATGACATAGAGACCAAAAAAAAAAAAAAAAAAAGCAAAGGATCAATGAAAGAAAGAGGTGGTTTTTCAAAAAGATAAACAAGATTGATAGACCCTTAGCTAGACTCACAGAGAAACAAAGAGAGAGAACCCAAATACACAAAATCAGAAATGAAAGAGGAGAACTAACAACTGACACCACAGAAATACAAAAGATCATTAACAAGTACTATGAATTATATGGCAACAAATTTGACAATCTAAGTGAAATGGACAAATTTATTGAAACACATAGTCTCCCAAAACTGGACAGGGAAGAGATAGAAAAACTTGAACAGAACAATAACAAACTAAGGAAATTGAAGAGGTAATCAGGACTCTCCCAGCAAACAAAAGCCCAGAGCCGGTTGGCTTCATGGGAGAGTTTTACCGAACATTCAAAGAAGAGCTAACACCCATTCTCCTCAAACTATTTTAAAAAATTCAAGAGGAAGGAACACTTCCAAACTTGTTTTATGAGGCCAGCATAATTCTAATTCCAAAATCAGAAAAAGACACTACAAAGAGAGAAAACTATAGGCCAATATCCCTGATGAACATAGATGCCAAAATCCTGAACAAAATACTAGCAAATCGGATCCAGCAATACATCAAAAAAATTTTTCATCATGACCAAGTGGGATTCATCCCAGGGATACAAAGCTGGTATAATATATGCAAGTCAATAAATATGATACACCACATAAACAAAATGAAGAATAAAAACCACATGATCATATCAATACATGCTGAAAAAGCATTGAACAAAATCCACCACCCATTTCTGATAAACATTCTCAGCAATGTGGGAATAGAGGGATCGTATCTTGACGTAATAAAGGCCATATATGAAGACCTACAGCTAATATCATAATCAATAGGCAAAAACTAAAAGCATTTCCCTTAAGAACAGAAACAAGACAGGGATGCCCACTTTCACCACTCTTATTTAACATAGTACTAGAAGTCTTAGCCACAGCAATCAGACATGAAGAAAAAATAAAAGGGATCCAAATTGGAAAGGACGAAGGGAAACTGTCATTATTCACAGATGACATGATATTATACATAGAAAACCCTAAAGACTCCGTCAAAAATCTACTACACTTAATAAATGAATTTGCAAAATAGCAGGATATAAAATTAATGTCAAGAAATCTACGACATTCTTATACACCAAAGATGAAGTCACAGAAAGAGAAACTAAAAAATCAATTCCATTCACCATGGCAAAATTCCATTCATCGTGGCAAAAAAAAATTAACATACCTAGGAATAAACTTAACCAAAGGAGTAAAGTACCTCTTTGCAGAAAATGACAGGTTATTGGAAAAAGAAATAGAGGAAGATATAAAAAAGTGGTAGCACATACCTTGTTCATGGATTGGAAGAGTTTACATCATTAAAATGTCCATACTACCCAAAGCTATCTATAGATTCAATGTAATCCCCATCAAAATACCAATGACATATTTCACAGAACTAGAACAAATACTTCAAAAGTTCATATGCAACCAGAAAAGACCCCGAATAGCAATCTTGAAAAAGAAGAATAAAGTTGGAGGGATCACAATACCAGATATCAGGTTGTGCTGCAAAGCCACTGTAATCAAAACAGCCTGGTACTGGCACAAGAACAGGCATTAAAGACCAGTGGAACAGAACAGATAACCCAGAAATGGACCCAACTCATTATGCTGAATTAATATTTGACAAAGGAGGCAAGAGCATACAATAGAGTAAAGACAGCCTCTTTAATAAATGGTGTTGGGAAAATTAAACAGCTACATGCAAAAAAATGAAACTAGACCATCAACTTATACCACACACAAGAATAAACTCAAAATGGATAAAAGACTGAAATGTGACCCGTGAATCCATAAAAATCCTAGAAGAAAATGTAGGCAACAAAATTTTGGACATCATATGCAGCAGAATTTTCACTGATACATCACCTAACGCAACAGAAACAAAGGAAAACACATGGGGCTATCTCAAACTCAAAAGCTTCTACACAGCAAAAGATATAATCATCAAAATGGAAAGGCAACCCACTGTATGGGAGAGCATCTTTCCAATGATACATCAGATAAGGGGTAATTTCCAAAATATATAGAGTACTTATACAACTCATCAAAAGGAAGACAAAGAACCCAATTAAAAAAATTGTCAGAAGTGCTAAATAGACACCTCTCAAATGGCCAAGAGATATATGAAGAAATTCTCAATATCACTAATCATCAGAGAGATGCAAATTAAAACAACAATGGGCTCTGGCCAATTTGGTTCAGCGGTTGAGCATAGGCCTGTGGACCAGAGAGTCCTGGGTTTGGGTCCCGCTTGGGGCATGTACCACATACACACACACAAATAATAAATAAATAAATAAATAAATAAATAAATAAATAAATAAATAAATAAAATGGAGACTGTTTTAAAAAAACAACAACAATGAGGTGTCACACCTATCAGAATGGCCGCCATCAAGTCATCAAACAACAAGTGTTGGCGAGGGTGTGGAGAAAAGGGGCTGTAGTACACTGCTGGTAGGAATGCAGACTGGTGCAGTCATGGAAAAGACTATGGTGTTACCTCAAAAAATTAAAAGTCGAATTGCCATTTGACCCAGTGATCTCACTTCTAGGAATATACCCTAGGAAGCCTGAAACACCAATCAGAAAGAATATATGTACCCCCATTTTCATAGCAGCACTATTTACAATAGCTAAGATGTGGAAACAGCCCAAGTGTCCATCAGTAGAAGAGTAGATAAAAAGCAGTGGTCCATATTCACAATGGAGTACTATGCAGCTGTAAGAAGGAAAGATCTCTTATCCTTTGAGAAGACATGGAGGGAGCTGGAAAGTATCTTAAGCAAAACAAGGCAAGCAGAAAAAGACAAATACCACATGATCTCACTTATTTGTGGAATATAATGAACATAACTGCCTGAGGAATAAGGTAGACCCAGAGACGTGGAAGTAGGGTATAGACTGAGAACCCTCAGAAGAGGGGTGGTGGGGGCAGGGAAGAGTTAAACCACAGAACTTATATGCATGTATGCATAACCAATGGACATGGACAACAAAGCCGGGGACAGGGTTGGGGGATGGGGAGGAAGGATTCAATGGGGAACAAAAAGAGAAACATCTGTAACAAAAATAAATTAATAAAAATAAATTAAAAAATTAAAATACATGTAAACTATAAAAACAAATTAGAATAAACCAGCCAAGGGTTGAACTTTTTTTATGCAGTAGTACCATTTCTCCTCTAGACTTTCAACAATTCTGACAGGGTGGTTCCAGATTAACTGATTTTAAGCAATTTAAATTTTACTCATGGGTGCCACACACATTTTGGCATCATTTATATGTTTTTAATATAGCAGTTCCCAAACTGGGCATGAGGTTCCTTGTAGCACTGTAGTACACTCACCAGGATTCCTTGATATGTCTTAAATTTTCAAGGGAAACACAGTGATACTTGGCATCTCTCAGGTACCTGGAGGTGGTTCACAGTTTTATTAATGCATTTGGCTCTGTTTCTTTAGAGGACATCATGTCTTTACAAAGCTGGGCAGAATGAAAATCAGTGTGAAATAGGAAATGAAGGTAGTGATGTCCAATCTGATTCCAAGGCTTGGAAGTTCCCATTAGTAACTGATTTACTAAGAATGACATAACTATATGTGCTTCATGATGTATATTCTTATTATTAATCCTCACCAAGGACATTTTTCCATTTTTTGTTCAGATAGAGTGGGAGAGAGAGGAAGAGAGAGAGAAACATCGACGTGAAAGGGACACATGTGGCTGCCACCCGCACAACCAGGGCCGGGGACAAACTGCAACCGAGGCACACGCCCTTAGTGGGAACTGAACCCAGGTCTCTCTGAACTGCAGGCCGATGCTCTAACCACTGAGCCAAACTGGCCAGGGCCATGATGTATATTATTTTTTAACTGGCTGCTATGTTTTTGGGACATAAGTAGTTAAGTTATTTGGACCTGACTACTTAAAAAGAGAATTGTCAGGTTTTTGTTTTATTTTTGTTTTGGCCAAGTGGCACCAGGGAAAAAATTACTCAGACATTAGAGTATGACGATCTGAGAAAATTTGGAAGTTTCTGTTCTAGTATTTGCATGAATGTATATATATGTGTCAGTGTAAGAAATAAATGATGATTTTTGCAGTTGATTTTTCACATGTAGAACAATAATGCTGAGAACGATATGATACTAGGAGAGTATATAAAAATATGTGATTCAGAGCTGAAACATCCGTAGAAAACAATCCAGATATTTACTAATTTAATAAAAAGAGCCCCTAAATACAGGTAAGCTTTTCAGGGAAGAAGTGAGGTACAGAATATTAAAAGTTGGCCTTATTTTACCCTTTTCCACCCCTTGTCTCTACTTAGATTCTACCTGTTATTTTGTGAGGCTTCCTCAGGCCAAATACAGTTTTCTTACTAACCCTTAATATGTTTGTAGATACCAACACTGCAGAATTAGTTTATTTATATGAAGCAGATACACACACACATTTTTAAGTCCTTTAGTTACATAAAAAATAAACTCTTCTATAATTTTTGTTTTCATAAATTATATAGTGCTTTGTAGTACATCAGAAAGTCAGTTGCTAGATATTGTCAAAGTATTGTAGCTTCATATTTTATTGATCAGCATTTATATGTTTCATTGTTCCAGAAATTCTCTCTCATGGCTTATCCTGACTTTGTTTGATATTCTTTGAGGTAATTTCTTAGTGTAAGATTAGCTGAATTTCCCATTTAAACATATGCTTCAACCAAGAGTCTTAACTACTAAGGGGATAAGGTTACATTACCATGCTTGTTGATCTGACGTAGATGTTGTTTTTTAGATGGCAGTTTCCATCATTTGGCACCACTATGCCTGCCAATTTGCTGTCAAGAGCAAGATGAGATGTCTGATCTGTCATCACCAGCAGCAATCTTTTAGCTTCTTTTCGCCATCCAATATGACTCTTAAAATAAACATATAATTAGACCTTGTACAATAACACAGATCTATACTGTGATCTTTATCTCAAGTAAACATTACATTCTAGTGCACCAACATCAAGTCAGGTTAGAATGATGTGCACAGATAAAATGCTGTTTCATTAATAGAATTAACTTTTATTTTTATATTCTCTATTTTACCACAGCCACTTAACCACATTAGCTCTTGCCTAGAGATTTGTAGTGTTCCCCGAGTGAAGACAAGTCAGGTGTAAGAAGTGCAGAGCACCCAATGTGAGTTGGACAACAGGCTCTTCCTGGTTTTCCTTTGAATGGTGGTGAGTGGAAAGAGCAGCCATTTTGGAAAGGATTTTCCAAGTATATAAGTTAGTTTCTTTTTTATCTTTTTCTATTATAACCCATTCCAAATTTAGACCTTCAGTCCTGAACATATACCAAAATGAGTAACATTGGTGATGAATAAGAGATAGAAGTTTTTCTTCTATGCTATGTTTTTACTCCTTATATCAAAAAGAAAATAAAAATCCCAAATTCTTGGGGAGTTTTGCATTTGCGCAAATGCTCAATGGTGTGAAATTTCTTACCTCACAGACAGCTGCCTGAAGCATAGCATCAAAACCTCCTTCTGGTGTATCGATATTTCCAGAGATCTTCTGTCTATGAACTGCTTTTTCAAACTCAGTGATGTTCTCTGTCAAAGACAGCACATGGATGTATCCATGGGGTGGCATACAGTCTAAATTGTAGTCACTGTGGGCAAAGAAGAAATGCAGATTCTGTTTTGCTGTGCTTCTTTCATAGATTCAAAATGCTACTCACAGTAAAATTGTGTGGTTGGTGTGAGAAGGTAATAGTTTTTTGTTTGTTTATTTGTTTTGCCAAGGAAGTTTTATAAGAGAAAACCTGTACTTTAGAAAGCCAGAGGAAAGCTCAAGATTGGTGACTATTTCTTTGCAAGTAGGATATAAGAATATAGCAGTTTGGTGTTGAAAATATGAAGAAGATTAAACATATTTCGTATATAATATCCAAGGCATTTTATTATGCTAACATGTAGTATTAATTTTTAAGAGGAGATAAGAATGATAACATTTGATCATGGAACAACTGAAAAACACTTTTTGGGAAATGGTTTTAGGAACTTAGTGAAAATATTATACTATTGTTAGATTATTTTCAAATATTGTGCTATTTTTTTAAACGTGATGCTTGGTATTCAATTATTGATGAACACTCAAAGTTAATTAAAATTATTTTGAGAATTCTATGATGTTCCAGAAAGTGAGAATCATTCTTCAGGTGCATCCAGGTCAGGAGAAGGCTCAAGAAGCTCCCTGCGATGTTTCAGCCCTGTTCTAGTACAGCAGAGTTGTTTTGGTAAATTAAAATGTATACTGAAAAGTGATCTGGGCAATTTATGGAAGTAGGAAAGATGATGTTAAAATGAAATGCTTTTTTAAGGGAGAACTAAACATTTTTATTTATCTCTGAAAATTTTACAGGCTAATTAGAATATTGTGTGAGAAACTTGATTACTGGAGATTTGTCGAAAATTATTCATATTATTTGTAAAAAAAAAAAATGTAAGTGAATGATATTTGAAAAATATATAAAATAAAAATTTGAAGCTACAAGTAATCTCAGAAACTTTCAGATAGAAACATACTTCCCCTCCAAATATTTTCACTTCTCTTCATAAAACTAAAATATAAAATATAGTAATTCCTTTATATAAAAACAAAGTGAGATTTAATAAGAAGAAAACTTCATTTAGCATTATGAAATCCACCTCAAACACTAGATACCTGCATTGATTATGTATCCTTTCTGGGTGGATGCTAATGTATGGCGAAACTGTTTTATCAACATATGAGCCAAATCCAAGGCGGAAGTCACGGGAGAAAAATGCCATTTTTTTAGATAAATCATTTCCAACGGAATTTAATTTTTCAATATTATTGTGCATTGATGCTGAAACATCAACCAGATAATAAAGATCCACAGGATATTTCTTCAGAGGATGAATTTTCAGCATGAAATTAGCTTCAGCTCCTAGTTCAAAGAAAGACAAATATCATGTATATATTTTAAACATCTCTGGATAAGCCGTCAATAAATCAGTTGAATTTTAGATGTAGAACAATTATTATAGATTTATGTATAATGAATGAAATTAGGAGTATTCCAGGATAATTTTTAGGCAATTTGAAAACCATACAAATTTATGAGTTTCCAACTTCTACAATGTATTTCTCAAAATTCTATAGAGCAGATAGAGATAATACCAAGTAGACCAGCTCAATATAAATGTAACAGGAAATGTGTTTATTACCATATGAACCTGTATTTCTATCTAGAAAAGCATAGCACGAGACAGCAAGCAGCCTTCTATCTCAAGAGATAGTAGGTGGCTGTGTTTGAAGGTGGCTTTCAGGTCTGAAGAAAACAAGAAAGAAAACTTGCCTTTTATTGGATGCAGTTCTTAATTTATCCTTTGGGGTTAAGGCATATTTACACATGAGACATGGCACTCTGTTACTGAAAAGTATATTAAGCTATTCAGAATAATTTGTACCTCATCAAAAATTACTTGACAAGATTCTTCTCAGAAGTTAGTTGTGAGGAGGAATGAGACAGTGGTCTAAAGAAGAGTAACTGGAAGGGCCACATTGAGGACCTGCAATGTAGGGGATATCATTTGTGCAACCCTTGCTGGGTTCTCAAAAAATCTGTGCTGTAGAGGGATCACAGAGGCAAGGGAACTGGGTAGGAAGAGGGTCACAACAAGGAGGACTGTGGAGCCTCCCAGGGTCAACCCTGCAGAGTTGGTAGTCAGTCTGTATTTACTTTTTTTTAAAGGTAGGTGGTGCAAAGTGATCAATTTAAATACTTTGTGAATTTTACTTTTTTAAATAATAAAGCAAATGCTTTGTAAGTAATTCATTATTTGTCCATGGAGGATATTTTTTGAGTGGAAAAAATTCTAATTAACACCAATTTGTATGCATAATTGGTAGCCTGATCTGCCTAATAAAGGAATCCTCTAATCTATCAAATTATATTTTCAGTCTTAATGTGCTTAAGAGTAGCAATATTTTCTCTTAAATTATTTCACAAGTACAATGCTTTTCAGCCAGATTAAGGAATGTATTCAAAATAGTAAGTTTTTTTCTGGTACCTAACAATTATGGGAGAAAGGGGCTATTTACTCATTCTTAATTTGTCATCATATGGAGGAAACCCCTTTACTCTAACACTCCTAATTTGTTGGCCCAAGAGTTTGGGAGGAAAAATTGGGTATGTGTCATGCAGCCTAGCCGGCTCTCTCAGTCCTTACGTTTAGGAGCTGGTCTACCTCCAGAGAGGCTCTGCTTTTCAGGTATCTGGTGAAAAAGCCTGCCTATGTGGAAGTATCCTGCAATTTGGGTAGAGAATTTCAGTTCACAGTGATAGAATCTGGCACACAGGGATAGATTGGTGAAAACAGAAACGGAGTATAATTGGGGAGCGTGCTTCATGAGGAGGAGTTTGGACTTGAATGTATGGGTCAGTATTGAAACTTTTTTTTTTTTTTTACAAATTATATAGTTGTTTTTTAATCACTGACTTGGAAATATGGCTGAAAGCCTTAGGCACTGACCACATGGTATTTTCATCTTGGTGGATCATTACAGTATATGGTAGCTCTGTCTAAAGATGAATGGCTATCTGTTTTTATAGAGTCATTGCAAAATAAACAGTTAAGCATATTGTGCAGGTTGTTATATTGTTGGTTATCTCAGCCAATAAGCAGAGTTTGTGAAGCATCAGCAAAACACAGTCCTTGGAGGCCTAAGCTATTCAGGGAGCTCCAAGCAAATGCTAGCTACATGAGTCCTCAACACACACCAGCTGCTCATAGCCTAGCAAGCAAATCCTGGTCTCACTAGATGTTAGTAATTACTGCTGTTACTATTACTAGATTCTAAGCAACATTAGGGTAAGAACTGTTTATTTATCTCTGAAGCCTCTGGATCTGGTACATGCATAGCTACTCATAAATATTCTTTAACTATACAATATTTGAAACAGATTTTTATATAGCATTTTATTTCTTTATTATTATTATTGTTATTATTATTTTTATTTTTTATCCTCACCTGAGGACATTTTTCTATTTTTTGTTCAGGTAGAGTGGGAGGGAGGGAGAGAGAGGAACAGAGAGAGAGACAGAGAAGCATCAATGTGAAAGGAACACATCAAGTGGCTGCCACCCGCACGACTGACCAGGGCCGGGGACAAACTGCAACCGAGGTACGCGCCCCTAGCGGGAACCGAACCCGGGTCTCTCTGGACCGCAGGCCAACGCTCTAACCGCTGAGCCAAATTGGCCAAGGCATCTTTATTATTATTTTTAAAATGTATCTTTATTGTTGAAAGTACTACATATGTCCCCCCCTTTTCCCATATTGCCCTCCTCCATCCCACTTCTGCCCCCCTTCACTGCACTATTGTCTGTGTCCTGAAAGGCCTGCATATTTATCACAGTAAGAAGCTAATATCTATGATTTCTTTCCTACAGTTTAGGGGAAACTCAGTTTCTCTCTTTAAGGGGAAAATAATATAATCTAGCCCCCAAATGTTTATGCAACCGTGTATATTATTATCGCCAGGAAAGCTTCATCCATTCTCATATCTTTTGAGATTCTAAAGGTTCAGATCCTTGTTTCCTTCAGTTAACACCGAAGGGAAGAAGTGAGTCTATTATATAGAATAAGAAAGAGAACTTGAAAGTTGAGACCTACTTAGAGCTATTGCCAGTATTAGTTTGAATAGCCCAAAGAATTCATTAAAAATTGTTAAAATGATTCTGAATCACTCAAATAATGGTGGGAGCATCTCTGAAGTACTTGCTACAAGAAATATAACTGGACACTAAGAAAAGATAATTTAAAATTTTTCTGCATAAGGTGAAATTAAAAAACCATAATAAAAGTTGTAAAAGTATAGCAGGAAAAAAGAGCAGCCAATTACTACTAATTATACTTGGGCAGGGGAAAGAGAAGGCCCAAGAATGAGACTGGTTTGAAATAGGAAGGCATAGACTCCAGCACAATTCTGAACTTTTCGTGGTGGGTAAAATGGGGTATATGTGCAGGGGTAGGGGAAGAACACACAATTCCTATATTTTAATGTTTTTTGAAAAAAAATATGAAGAATACCTGAAAATCTTACATTTTAAATTAAACTACACTAAAGGACTTTTTTCTTTACAATATTAAAATGAATCAAGTTTGAAATATTTTTCTGAATTAGTAAAGTAGGGATTATACTAATCCTTATCATATATATTGTATTACTCTGAAGCAGAATTAGAGAATTCTCTTCTCTTTCCTATCTTCCTAAAGATTTCACTTCAGTGTTAGGGAACATCAACTAGGATCAGTAACATATTTCTGTTATTATTTTTCCATAAGATTGAGAGGTAAAAGTAAGAAAAAAAAAGTATAGTTTAAGAAGTAAAAAGTAAAAATGTCATTTTAAAATCTCATTTTAAATATTTGTTGTATATACATATTTTTATATAGTCCTTCTAACATTCTTTTAAAAATTTAGTCAGTATATGATATTATAGAAATATCCATGAAAAAATTGTAAAATTCTTAATAGATGCTACATTGAAAGTCATGAATTTTTATCAGAAAAAATAAAGTGATTATCTATAAGTAAATCAAATAATTCAAAATCAATATTAGGAGATAAATACATTTTACACTTGGGTGTGTATTATATCAAACCTCAACTCTTATATGTTTCATGGTGGAAAAGACTTGGTCATTATGAGGAGTGATGTTTCTATATATCTGGAGTTGGCACAATATAGCTTTATATATTATGCCCCAAAGCTGGTATCTGTGATGTCACATACATTATTTAGATGAATTTAATAAATCTAATTTAATGACTCTTTGCTATATATGTGGATTATAAAATATAGTTTTGTTATAGCTATGTTGGAAAGATGACTTACACATATTAGACAGTTATACTAATTTGTAGTGGCAAATTGAATAAAATCAAGCCCCATAATGATTGACATAGACATTAAAACATTTTTCTTTTTTATTCTTCCACTACCCATGATCTTATCCATACTGCCTTCACTTACCATTTCATGTTGTCGTCTTCTCTGTCTCTATCTCCAGTCTGTATCTCCCCTGAATTTCAGCCTCAGACAAGTAAATTACTACCTCAACCTAAGTAGTTTCAATATGAACTCATTACCACCCCCTCCAGAGAGGGCAGTCTTCCCCCTCTCACCTAGTTGCTTAAGCCAGAGCCATGTGTGCCCATGCCCATCATCAATCACCAACCTCTGAGGATGCTAGCTCCCCATTATCTTTCAAGTCTGTCCATTTTTCTCCTGTCTTATTACTGTTACTGTCATTATTATCATTACTATTATTGTGGAAACAGCACTGAAACAATGATTAAACTTTTGAACTGTTAATTTATAGTCTTGGGAGGATTAAATCACCATTATGGTCAAGTGAAATTCACTGAAGTACATACATTTAAATGTAACAAATCGGTAGGGAAAAAATGCACCTTGTAATGTCAAATCTTCAAATAATCTTTAAAAAGACATTTTTAATGGACATATTCATATTAATCAGAGGCAAATAATATATAAGCTTCATGTGTATTTAACTTCTTATATCTTCATTAGGTATTTTAGGGTTTCCCCTTTTCTTGAGTTAATTTTTAATTGCATATTTTATCTCTATATTATCTATATTATCAAGATTTATTCATTTTACCATTTTTTTGTATGTTTAAGATTTTCTTAAAGTCTTTTTTCCATTAGTTGTTTCTCTGGTTACAGTCTATATAATTAAGTTATTTACTTTTTGTCCTCTTTTCGTAACTAGATTTGCCAACAATTTATTTATTTGATTGGGCTTTACAAAGAATCAGCTCTTGGGTTTATGCATTCATTTTATTTTTTTAGTTTCTATTTTAAATTTTATTTTATTTTATTTTTTTTATTATTATTTTTTTTAATCCTCACCCGAGGACATTCTTCCATTTTTTCTTCAGATAGAGTGGGAGGGAGAGAGAGGAAGAGAGAAAGAGAGAAAGAGAAACATCGACGTGAAAGGGACACATCGAGTGGCTGCCACCCGCACGACCAACCAGGGCCGGGGACAAACTGCAACCAAGGTATGCGCCCCCAGCGGGAACCGAACCCCGGTCTCTCTGGACCGCAGGCCGACGCACTAACCGCTGAGCCACACCGGCCAGGGCTAAATTTTACTATTTTATTCTTATGAATTTCTTCTTCTTGTTTTCCTTATGTTATTTCGTTTTTGTTGTTCCTATATTATTATTTGGATACTTAGTCAATTTTTGTTCATTCTTCTTTAATAATAAAAACATAATGTTTTGAATTTTCCTGAGAACAACTTGTCACATCACATATATTGTGATTTATGTTGCTGTTATTATTGTTGTTATTAAATAGTCAATGACTACAGTTGTGATTTATTCTTGAAGACAGAATTTATTTAGGAGAAGTTTTTCTTAGTTTCTCTGTTATTTAATATTTGTTTACCCTCTCATAGTGATTTCAAATTTTACTGCACCATACACAGAGATATTGGTCTATAAAAACAGTTTTACTTTTTGGAATTCCGTTTTCTTGTCTAAAATGTGATTAATTTCTGAAAATATGTCATGGATTTTGAAAATATTATTTTATATATCAAGTGCTATGGACCAAATTATGTCCCTCCCCATTAATGTGTTGAAGCCCTAACTCACAATGTAATTGTGTTTAGAGATGGGGCCTTTGGGAGATAATCAGATTTAGATGAGGTCATGATGGTGGGGCTTTTATGATGGGATTAGTGCCCTTCTAAGGAGAAATACTAGAGAGCTCTTTCTGTATCTCTTTTTCTCTCGGTCACTCTCTTCCTCTCTAGGAACTGAACCTGCTAGCACCTTGATCTTGGATTTTCTAGCCTCCAGAACTTTGAGAAAATACATTTCTGTTGTTTAAGCCACTTTGTGTATGGCATTTTGTTACAGCAGCAACAGAATGTGGCAAGCACAAAATCTTATTTTCATTTTCTGTGTATCATTTTCCAACTGTTGCTCCTATATGTCCATACTGTGCTGTATAAGGTGTTTTATATGGTGCAGTGCACAATTTTAATTAAAAGCTGGGAATATGCTCATGGCCAGAAAAGAAAAGGACTTTGTTTATCTGGTAATCTGAGTGTAGAAGAAATAGTTCTTCTTTGGAATAGGGAGGTTGTGTGTCAGTAATTGTTATTTAAAAATTTAATGACAGGACAAGACCACCCAGAATGAAATAATAAAGGCTTGTATACTGGTTAAAACTAAACACATTTAATTGATTGATGCATACCTGTGTACCTGAACTTATCTTGCCATATAAGATTGTACACTGGGATTCTCTAGCACTGGAGGAAAATGAGTAATTTCTAGTGGCCTACTATGTATTCCAAACTGTGGAATACAATGTGATGGAAAGGCAAGTACACAAGAAATATAGGAGGAAAAGTGTGTATTAATCTCAGGGGCCATCATAAAGTTTCACAAGTTAATTATCACAATTATGAATTGCAGTTTTGTGTCTGTAAGTTTATCACAATGGCTCTAACTTAATTCACATCACTCATTAATTAATTATTCAACCAATAAATTTAACACATACTTATGGAATGCTTACTATATGCCAGCACTCTGCTAAGCATTGGAGAAACAGAGAGGAATAAAATATGTTCTCTTTCTTCCTGAGCTGGCAGTAGAGGACACATTACACTACAACATGAACAAGTCTGGAAACACATAATTATAATACAGTGCGGTCAGGTTTGCTAGAGTGTCTGAGGCCACACAGCTAGCTAGCTGTAGGCATAATAAAGACTAGAATACTGACTTCCTGATTCTGAGCCCACTGCTATTTCACTACAACAATACTGCCTGCCACAAAATATTAAATATGAGCAAATAAAATTAAATGTCACTTCAAATTAAGAATCATCATAGTTTATTTGGAAATCACCAAACCTGGACGCAGCTGGACCAACACTTCGCCTGGTGTCACTTGGGTATTAATTTCATTTTCACTTGGTATTACGTGCACAGATGGGTATTCTATTGAATCAACTGAGCATCCTTTGCTTATTAAATTGGAAACAGTATCACAACGTTCACTCCTTGATCCACCTGAAATGAAATCCTGTTTAAAAGAAGGAAAATCACTGACATTTTTAGTGCATAACATGTCAATTATAACCAAAGAAAACCACATAACAAATGTTGCAAAAAGCCATCTTCTAATATTGCACCACTTATGCAACTATTCAAAATAGCCGCAAGTTTCCAATAAGAGTACTGGCAAATTTGTTTTAAGTAAAGCTTTAATTTCTAAATCTTACTAAAAAAAAAAAAAAAAAAGAAAATGAATATTAAAGAGGAGATTTAAACCAAGTACTTTAAATATTGTTAACTGATCACTGTAAAATTATACCAACTTAATCCTTTCTAAATATTTTACTTTGGGAAGCCTGCTCCAAAAGAAAATTTATACAAAATAGACCATTCAGTGGTTCCAAATTTAAGCCTTAGTTCTTAAAGAACTCAACTGGTATATTTATTTTATACTATTATGTTTGGAATATGAGAGCAAATCCTCAGAAGTCACATACCTAATTACAGAAAATTCATAAGAGAATTAATTGAAAATCTACATCACTTAGACTATGAAATCTGCCAACTTCTTATATACACAACAGTAATTCAATAAACCAAGGATGATCAATGCCTATAATAACGCAGGGAGATAAGATGGCAGCTCAAATTCTCCTGCTTCTGCAACTGAATCTAGAACTTTCAATACCATTCAGCATTGGCTAGTTGATGTTTGTCCAATAGCCATCCAATAAAATTTGAATTAATGGAGCAACCTTAAAATTTAATTTATCTTAACTAAGAAAAACAAAACAAAAACTATTAGCTTTATTCTTCATTAACCATTCAGGTTCTTTCCTAAGAACAAGATATGTATTGAAAACTATAGGTCTTCATCAAAATGGTGGCGGAGTGAATGGAAGCTACACAGACCATCTCCCAGGACAAAACAGGAATTATAATGAAAATAAAGACAAATTATTGGGAAAAAGCAACAGAAAAGTAGCTTGTGAGGACCATATAACCAAGGACACTGAATGGATCCTGGTAGAATTGTGGAGGTGTGAGAGGGGGGCTGGGAGCCCATGGACAGCAGCAGTCTGTGCTGTGAGCAGCGCCCTTGGGGTTAAACTCCAAGTGCTCCACAGTGCCGAAAGCTGGGACAGAGCACTAAAATAGCCACAGCCACTCACCTTGGGCTCTGGCAGAGGGAGGGCAGACTGGACTGGAACTGTGTGGGGACACTTGAGATTTGGAGGGTGCTCACAGCTTTTGCTGAGTTGAGGCCACACAGGACTGTGGTCATCTTACTCCTTCCTAGGATTCTAGGGAGAGGTGGCGCCCCACCCTCGGTGATTCAATCCCACCCAGGGCCCAATGAAATGCAAATTGAGGCCCATTAACAACCAGCATCTGCCTACTCTCAGGAAATCACCTTACTAGGAACACCTGAGGGAGTTTTTCATTCAACTGAGAACCCAAGGCTCTTCAAGTAACCGCAATTGAGCCTCTAGGCAAAAAGCTAGAGGATAACTGAACCATTCCTGGGCTTGCAACTCTACCCAGGAAAGTAAGACTTGACAGTGGTGTTTAACATGGGTCCTTCCTTGCTCATCCAAACACAGTAGAGGGAGGAACAAACATCAGAACACCAACACCCACAGGGAAAATTTGGCAGGCTCCAAAACCAACTGAGATAGCCAAAATGGTGAAACAAAGAAACAAATCTCATTTTTTTAAATTGGGTTCTGTGTCTTCCTTTTGTTGAGTTGTATGAGTACTCTATATATTTTGGAAATTAACTCCTTATCTGATGTATCATTGGCATTGATGCTCTCCCATACAGTGGGCTGCCTTTCCATTTTGATGGTTGTTTCTTTTGCTGTGCAGAATCATTTTAGTTTGATATAGTCTCATGTGTTCATTTTTGTTTGTTTGTTTCTGTTGCCTTAGGTGATGTATCAGTGAAAATTCTGCTGTATATGATGTCTGAAATTTTGTTGCCTACATTTTCTTCTAGGATTTTTATGGATTCACGGGTCACATAGCAGCACTATTTACAATAGCTAAGATCTTGAAACACCCCAAGTGTCCATCAGTAGACTAATGGATAAAAAAGCCGTGGTACATATACACAATGGAGTACTATGCAGCTGTAAGAAAGAAAGATGTCTTGTCCTTTGAGACGACATGGAGGGACCTGGAAAGTATTATCCTAAGCGAAACAAGCCAAGCATAAAAAGACAAATATGACATGATCTCACTTATTTGTGGAATATAATGAATATAACAGTCTGACGAATAGAGTAGACCCAGAGACGTGGAAGTAGGGTACAGACTGACAACCCTCAGAAGAGGGGGTGTGGGGGAAGGGAAGAGATAAACCACGGAACTTATATGCATGTAAGCATAACCATTGGACATGGACAACAAAGCCAGGGATGGGGTAGGGGGAATGAGGAGGAGGGTATCAGTAGGGGGGAAAGGAGAAACATCTGTAACAAAAATAAAATTAAAATTGAATAAAATACATATTTAACATACAGAAATTAAAAAAAGAAAGAAAGAAACAGATCGCAAATAAAGAACAAGAGACCTCCACTGAAGATGAGATAAATGAAATGCAGTTAAGCAAGTTAACAGAGCTACAATTCAGAGCCATGATCTTGAGGAAGCTCAACAGCATGTGTAAGGATATCAGCACCATGAGTAAAGACATAGAAACATTGAAAATCAACCATCTGGAAAAGAAAAACCACCAAGAAGAAATGAAGAATGACATAGCAGAAATAAAAAACACATTGGAAGGACTAAACAGCAGAGAAGAGGAAGCTGAGGACTGGATCAGTGAGTTAGAAGACAGGGTAGAAAAAATCAACCAATCAGAAAATCAAAAGGAAAAAACAATTAAAAACAGGAAGACAGCTTAAGAGAACTGTGGAACAACTGGAAATGTAATAATACTCGCATCATAGGAATCCCTGAAGAAGAAGAAAATGAGCAAGGTTTAGAGAATATATTTGAAGAAATAATGACAGAAAACTTTCCTAATTTGGTGAAGGAAGAAGGCATTCAAGATTAAGAAGTACAGAGATCCCCAGGTAAGAAGAACCCAAAGAGGCCCACACCAAGACACATAGTAATTAAAAAGCTAAAAATTAAAGACAAAGAAAGAATCCTAAAGGCAGCAACAGGTAAGCAACAGGTTACCTACAAAGGAAGCTCCACAATGCTACTAGCTGACTTCTCAATAAAAACACTACAGGCCAGAAGAGAATGGCATGAATTAATCAAGGTCATGTAAAACAAGTATCTGAATCCAAGACTATTCTACCCAGCAAGGCGATTATTGAAAACAGAAGGTCAAATAAAGAGCTTCCCCGGGGGGAAAAAAAAAGGCTAAAGGAATACATTAGCACCAAACCAACACTGCACGAAATGTTAAAAGGACTGCTGTAATTAGTAAAATAAATAGGGAGAAAAATATAACCACACTAAACAAAAAATGGCAATAAATAAGTACATATCTATAATCACCTTAAATGTAAATGGACTGAATGCTCTGATAAAAAGACACAGAGTAGCTGATTGCATAAGAAAGCAAGATTCATATATATGTTTCCAAGAGACCCACCTCACAACAAAAGACTCACAAAGGTTGAAAGTGAAGAGATGGAAAAAAATCTTTCAAGCAAATGGAAAGGGAAAAAAATCTGGGTTAGCAATACTCATACCTGATAAAATAGATTTCAAAATGAAGGCCATAACTAGAGATAAAGAAGGCCACTACAGAAAGGACCTATCCAACAAGAAGATATAACCTTGGTAAACATATATGCACCCAATTTAGGAGCACCAAAATATATTAAAAATCTTCTGGAGGACTTCAAAGGAGAAACCAACAGCAATACAATCATAGCAGGGGACTTCAACATCCCGCTGACATCACTGGATAGATCCTCTAGACAAAAAATTACTAAGGAAACAGAGACTCCAAATGAAGCACTAAACCAAATGGATTTAATAAATACCTACAGAGAATTACACCCCAAAACTAGAGAATTCACATTCTTCTCAAGTGCACATAGGACATTCTCAAAGATAGACCACATGTTAGGACACAAACTAAGTCTCTACAAGTTCAGTAAGATTGAAATCATATCAAGCATCTTCTCAGATCACAATGGCATGAAACTAGAAATCAATTGCAACAAGAACATGTGCAAAGACATTGGAACACATGGAGGCTAAATAGCATGTTATGAAACAATGAATGGGTTACCAAGGAGATCAAGGAAGAAATTTAAAACTTCCTTGAAACCAATGAACATGAACACACAACAACCCAAAATCTATGTGATGCAGCGAAAGCAGTTCTGAGAGGGAAGTTCATAGCACTACAGGCCTACCTCAAGAAACAAGAAAAATTTCTAATAGACTATCTAACCTCACACCTTAAAGAACTAGGAAGCAAACAAAAAGAAATCCCAGAGCGAGTAGATTAGAGCAGAAATAAATGACATAGAGACCAAAAAAAAAAAAAAAAAGCAAAGGATCAATGCAAGAAAGAGGTGATTTTTCAAAAAGATAAACAAGATTGATGGACCCTGAGCTAGACTCACCAAGAAACAAAGAGAGAGAACACAAATACACAAAAGCAGAAATGAAAGAGGAGAAGTAACAACTGACACCACAGAAATACAAAGGATCAGTAACAAATACTATGAACAATTTTATGGCAACAAATTCGACAAGCGAAATGGACAAATTTCAAGAAACACATAGTCTGGCAAAATTGGACCGGGAAGAGATAGAAAACTTGAACAGAACAATAACAACTAAGGAAATTGAAGAGGTAATCAGGACTCTCCCAGCAAACAAAAGCCCAGAGCCGGTTGGCTTCATGGGGGAGTTTTACCAAACATTCAAAGAAAAACTAACACCCATTCTTCTCAAACTATTTCAAAAAATTCAAGAAGAAGGAAGACTTCTAAATTCATTTTATGAGGCCAGCATAATTCTAATTCCAAAACCAGAAAAAGACACTAC